TTAAAATAAATTACAAGAAAACATATGACCAAATAAATTGACTATCAATTTAAATCCATATAATTTATCAATTTAACTTAAAATTCAGATGGGAGGAAAACTATCTGAATATTTGAGGTTATAATCTAAGCTAATAAACAAATTATTGATAACTAAACCTATATAATCAGTACCAGAACTGAGGTCAGTGAGAAATCTTTTGAACTGATACTTCAAGTGTTATTCCTGTAATTTAAGACACCCATATGTTCAAAGATAATTTGATTTTTTATTACAAAACTGTTTTTATTTGAAAATATTTCATCAAATAATAATTATATCAATGAAAATTCATAAATAACTTGAGATAAAAAAACAGAGTAAAAAAAGAATTAAAGAAACTGTAGGAATATAATTAAATCAGATACGCTCGAGCCATAACCTCTTTTAGCCATTCTTCCGATTTAGAATTTTTAAAATTATCAATTTATCTATCAAGAAATTTTAAATCAAATTCTAACTTTATAGACTTACAGAATATTAATTAATCAGTGCAAAGTAAATGTTAAGAATTCAACTAATTATTAACTATACTTTTTCACTGATAGATATAATAGTTATAATAATAATAAATAATAGCAGAAAAAACATACACTGATTTATTTATTAAATTAAATTAAAAGATTTTCAAAGAAATTGTTATGAGCCCATTTATTTCAAAATTTATTTAGAATGTTAAATTAATATAGGAATTTAAGTACCTTAATTTTTTTTTGGGAAAATAACAGTGTAATAGATTTATGGATGATTGCGGAGAATTCTAAAGCTGATAATTAATAAAATATAGTATTTCAAATTAATTAGATCTATTGTCAAAATTTTTCAAAGAACTCCTTTGAAATTTTGAAATTGGAGTAAGTTTAATTCCTACCATTATTTTTATTTACTCTCTTAAAGTAGGTGCAATCAGAAAAACAGTTTAATCAAATTTTCTCTTGATTAAAGTTGATGATTACTTTATGAGAGAGAAGCGAGTATCTATAAAATTTGAGTGATTAAGATTGAACTTTTTAATGATATTTTTATCGAATACTAAGACTTAATTAATCGAAAATTACTATTTAAGGTAGTATAAAATTTATTTAATTTTATTTCTTATATTTCAGCTTTGAAATTAAAGTTAATTCAAAAACTTATTAAAAATTTATTTAATAAATATGACTGCCTTGATGATAAAGTAGTCAAGTGAAAGCTTTAAGTATAACAAGACTTATTATAATATTTTAGATAGTGATTTTAACTTTATACAATAAGCAAAATATTTAAAATAAATGAAAGGGGATTATCCTAATGTTCAACTACTATATTTAATTAGAGTTTGAAAGAACAAACACAATGGTAAAGACAGAACTAAAACAAGCTGAACTTGAGAAAGGATTAAAGAAACTAAAAATTGTTATATAGATTTGGTATAATAATGCAGTCAAGAAGTCATGATACCCAGAAATAAATAAATAAGCAAAGTTTGACTATATATCTTTAATCATTAAGCTATAAATTCTGTAATTATTGATACTAACTGAGTTACTGTTCAGATATATTATGAATAGTAATCCAATGAGAAATGTTATGTTATTTACTGAATTTAATTCAAGCTTTGGGTAAAGGGTCAATTAATAAATTTTTACCATCTTTCTCAAAAATATGTCTATCAATGCTTTATTGTAAGGGTGCTGATATTAGTTATGTAGCAGTAAAGGAAATGGGGCAAAACTATCAGTGGATCTAAGCTCTTGAAGCATAGGTTTTCAAGAATCAGAGCTAAATAGATTAATGCTGACTGAATTTATTAAATAAGCTGTTATTCTAATAGCTCACTTATCAAGCTCCTGATTTACCAACGGTAAATGAACAAATTAAGAATCTTAATTTAAAACAAAGAAGAGAAATATATCTAGTAAATTCATCATTAATTTCCTATTAATCTATCCTATGAAGATAATTAGTTGTACGAAATCTCTAAATTTAAATCTGATAATAATTTAATAATGTGTAGACAGCTCAAATGTTTTTAAAATCAAAGTTTGATAATTAAATCCTTCATATCTACCTACAATAAAGGATTCTTCAAAAGTCAAAAAAACTATTCGAAGACTATTCTAATATGGCCAATTCAAAACTCACAATTATTATATGTTAATTACCTTCTTTTCGAAACAATAAGACCAATAATGTCTTCATCAATCAACAAAATCTCTGCAAAACACAATTTCAATTCAAGTAAATTTAAAAAATTAGTTTTGAAACATTATATTTTGTAGACATTTTTTTTCTATTTTATGTAGTATAATTTATTATAATTTCTTTTCATGAATTTTACTGGGTTTATAAAAATGCAAAAAAATTGTAAACCTTAATATTTTTCTCTTTGAAATAAATTAGAAAATTATATTTTAAATATTTTCGTATAAAAAGAATATTTTAAATTCTAGAAAAATATTTCAAGTTCATTTAATGATTATTTATATTTTAAATTCTACAGAAATAAAAAGCTTAGTAAAAATCAAAAATTGCTTCAATTTGTAAAAGTTAATTATAATTTTAGAATTAAGGAAATTTTTAACCAAACAAGATGATTTGGATATTTTTTTCAAAATGAAATTATATTACCTTAAATCATCAAAATTTGAAGATAAATAAATTTTTATTGAATTTTGTCAAATTTAAAAAATGGTGATCTTTTTGATCTTAGTCTAATATAGTCAATTTGATTTTGTTATTTACATCTCAAATTAGTTTAAATCAATTCATGCCATATATTTTAATGTTGATAAATAATAAATTCGATTATTGCCTTTGTTCAATTTGACTTTGGCAAAATATCATAAATCTACTACTTAATAATTTAACAATTCTCCTTTTCAGATTAAGCATCTTATACTTCTAATAGTATTTATTAGGATATACGAATTATTGTTATGTTTGAGTTAATTATAAAATGAATTTTTGGAAAAAGATTTATCTAAATTAGTACATTATTAAATTATGCATTAATATCTGGAAAACATATATAATTAATAAAAATATAATAAGGATAATGATATGCGGATTATTGTAATTTGTTCATAAATAATCAATTCTACTTTAACTTTTCTCCTGTAAGATTTTCTAAAAAGAAACATCCTTTAGATTTTAGTAATGATCGTAAATCTATTCCTAATTAACTTACAATTTCTCCTTTTAAGATTAAAGCATCTTATGCTTAAAATTTTGATACTTGGGATATACAAAGTATTGTAACATTTGTGTTAACTAGATATAAGATAAATAAATACCTTCTTTTGGAAGAAAATTTTTTGAAAGTAGAACGGTAGGAAATTATCCAAAAATTTCTTAATAGTTTTTATTCTAGGATTCAATTTATTATCCTGTATTAACATTCCATAAGCGGATAGATTTATCATAGCTGCCAGATGCTAAAGTAGTACCATCAGGAGAGAAGCTTACTGACCAGACTGTATTGCTATGACC